ATTACATTACTTTATACAGACGATAAATAATAATGAAGTGTTCTTGAATAAAATATTATTTTTTATTATATAAATATGTTCATACTTAATCACTTACAATAGAACCAAAATATTCTTCAAAATATATTTTATAAGAATATCCAAATGATACATTTCATTGTTTACATTAATATTTAAAGTCCTGAAACTAGTAGACAAATCCAATTAAAAACGAAGCAAGCGTTTTGACTCAAAAAATACATTTCTTTTTCCGACATTGCCTTATTAAAACAGCTGTTTACCAGCTTCCTTTATGCAAATTCTTGTATTACAAAGCAGCTGTAAAATAGCAATTTTAAAGAAAAAAGTTTCCAATGCCAAAAAAGCAGTATGTAAATAAGACTGCTTCTTCTCGGGAAAATTTCTTTAAAATACAATTTACTATCAATAATAAAATTAATCAAAAAAGACATTTATTTACTTATCATTTGTTTATTTTAGGGCACCGTATGTTGACATACTATCAATATATCTTTATACGCTTATATATTATAGATACGTGCAAACGTGTATAAATTGTGTAAAGTTATATTGAAAGTGTCTAGCGCCTGTGCACCTGTGCTTGATAAATTTAATTAAAATTCTTAGATCAGTATTTTTATGCTGTATGTTCGCCTTTGACCTCCAAGCATGTTTGCCTGCTGTTGGAATTATAGGTATAGGTATTATTAGAATGTCACAATCAGATTACAGTTCTATAAATTCTATTGATGCAAAAGTCTGGTAGGTTTTTGCTTATTTTCTTCTGTTTCATTAACTATCAGTAAATGTTTAATGACAAGTTTATGCTTTTGAACTTCTTCACATAAATTATCTAGATAAGACAATGACAATGAATGGCAGAAATTTTACTTTGCTGTTATGAAGTCCATGTTGTCAAATGCCGAAGAAACAGCATCAAATATTACATATCCGTCCAACCATAAGATCGATCCAGTAATACTCGAACCATTGAAGAAATGTTTAAATGTATTGCAATCTGCAACTTCTCTAAATTACACAGACATAAAATATTTAGCTGACAAATCTATTGCCAGGTTTCGCTACTGTCTGTACGGAGCTGATCCTCCTAAACTTGTATCCGTCAATTTTTATCCAGCTTAGACAGCAAAATAGTTCATTACAAAAAGACGACATACAGTGATTTATATAGAGATTGTGATGCTCTCTTCAGAAGTTTCTCACTTGAGTTCCGCAACAAAATTCTGTCAGAAAGATTAATGAGAGTCAATGGCAAGGATTTTAAGTAATTTATAGTGATCAAATTCCAGATTACACGGCTTTATTATCTATTATAAAAAAGAGTATATCAAGATCCTGTCTTCGTAAAGTATACAATATACTTAATACATGTATGAGTAACATTGACTATCAATATAAATTACAATGGTCATAATGAATGAATGGATTGTTAGACTGAAGAGAATTGGCCTACAATGGTCACATTTTCCATTAAGTATTATTGACATATGATAAATAATATTTTGTTCTAGAACACTTTATTCCTGCCATCGGATCATGTATCTTACACTTACCAACAACATTCTTTCGTAGGTGGTTTTCAGGTATGATATAAAATATTTTCAACTATTTGTCTATTCAACATAATATTTATGGTATTACAAATATCTGGAAAAACTTGATCCGTGAAGCATTAAAACCATCAAAATTACATGGAAATTGCACGCTTGGTTGGATTTGGTCCGTAATTGAGAAAACGAAAACGTGCAACATCCCTCACGTCCCTAGCACCGGTTTGAGCCGTTCTCAATTTTCAACACAAAACAAAATGCTAATATCAATGATCCCGAAGTGCCAGTAAAATACAACAACACTTAAGTGAAGTACGGGGCAACTTTTAATGGCTGACACACATCATTTGAAATTCGTTGTTGTGATGTATAAACATCTCGAAAAAAAGTGATCCATCGAAAGCATTAAAAACAGCAAAATTACATGAAAATTGTAGACTCGGTATGATTGAGTCTGTACATGAGGGGTATTCAAAATGTGAAACATCCCTCACGCCCCAGGGCAAGACTTCCATAATAGACATATTCTCTTTAATAAAAAGTTTGTTCGATTTTAAAACTTTATTTCTTTTTTTTTGTGTAAATATATATCTTTTGATAAATCAACTCTAGAATGTTTAAAAAATATTTTGTACCATGTAAACAAAATGGATTTGATTCATTAAAATGTCATTGAAAATGATAAACATATTATAGCAGTATGATAATCATAATAATTGCGAAAATGATGATGCTAGATGGTGGATACAAACTGATGATCATGATACTTGTGATGATGATAATGATGATAATAGCAAAATTTGTTTGATTGCTTTATTGATTGATATTAGTGACGGTTGTAACAATAACTATCGTTAAGATACTTTTAAAGTTAATGACACACACAATGATGGATATGAAGTATGTCTATAAAAATCTAAAACTAAAATGATTGTATTTAAAAATTGTATTGAAAACATAGCTATACATCGACGATCTGTACAGTACATAATACCTCAATGTACAAATACATTGGTATTAAATTTACTCCTAAATTGTATAATCTTATGTCACTGCAAACAGGCAAAGCTGTTTATGTCATAAAAACATATCAAACATGTTAAAGAAACCTTTGAAAGCTGATAATGAAGATTTCAAAACACTTAACACAAGGGTATAACCTATACTTACATATTATACTAAATTTATGGAAGATAAATGACTGCCCAAGTACAATATTTACTATGAGTAATTTATTTTGTAAAATCTATGTTGCACTATAAGAGTGTGGGAACATCGTTAAAACACATTTTAAATACCTAAAGTAAATATGTGCTGAACATTGTCAACGTCATTATAAACCTATCCATACAAAAATAACATAATATTATCATAGATAAATCACACGACGTCGCTTTTTATAAGCACGTTTTTTTCCTGTCGAGAAAGAGGGCATATTATGGCTCAGAAATAAATATATTATTTCTTCTGTAAAAAGGAGAAACATAATCGAGATCGAGTTTTAAAACATTATATAATGGTTTCAGATCATGTTAAATGCTTCTAACATGAAGAAAGTAGCGCTTTATGTGAAAATATTTGTCATAAAAAGAGTATTTAATAATTGCTAAAATGCAACAGAAGAAAAATATGTACCTATATAACTGTAATTTAAACGTTTTTCTTGTGTTTTTGTTGTTTTTGTTTTCTTTTTTTTTCATTGACGCACCTAAAGTATAACCTTAAAGGATCATACTATGCTCCAGAATTCTTTTATTTTTATGTCTCAAAAGCTTTTTGTAACTTTTATAATTTCTTTCATCAGTTACGCATTGGCCAATAATCTAATCCCATACGATCATATCTTCAAGATATATTCGTGTGGGATCATTATTACATTTGATTGAAGTCTTTAAAAACAAATTATATTGTGCTGGCGATATAACTTTTATTTAACTTTATTTATTTTTGCTAATTTGAATGCGATTTGGTGTGTAATAAAAAGAATCTAACATTAGTTGCCATTATTAAAAAAAAATTCTTAAACTCTCGTCAAAGGTTCGTAACTCTTTCATTAACTCGTTTTACATCATATTTTTACATCAAATTTTGTATCACATGACAACTCATGTGAGATCCTATAAATGTATATATCATAGTACCTGTAATAAAACAATTAATAACGTGTTTTATTATAATGGCATTATGTAAAGTCACCTCTCTTATGAATTAAAAAAACAAATAACGAAAATTTACTGCTTAACTATGATAAATGTTTGATTGAATATGCTATATATCACACTGAGAAATGAAAAATTGCAATATTTTCACAAAAGCGAAGCACACTTTTCAGTGTGATATATGGCATATTAAAAATGTAGCTCAAAATAAAACAGTTTTCTTGCTGTGTGCCTATATTAATAAGTAAATGACAGCCATGTACAACCGTTTTCATCAAAGCACCAAGAAACAGAGATGATATCAGATGTTCGAATGCTACGCGAACATTGAGCAAACAAAAGTACATGTCATTTAAGATATTAATCATCGCTACGTTTTAACTGATAACATCTTTAGATTTTAGTTAGTAACGATATTTAAATTGAGAAAAAAATCTAAAAATGAAGGAAACGCATTATTTTCTGTCAATTTATAATACGTTGTGAAACTTCACTGTTTCAGACTCCGTCCACTATGTAGAATCTGTGCTGCAAAATATCCAAAATGTAAACAGGTGTCAGCAACGTTTATTCATCAGCGTGAGAAGGCTAAATACTTTATGGCGCTCTCAATTCTCTGGCTTAGGACTTTTGCAAATCCATAGAAAACAGGGTGATCTAGGCTGACGTACATTTGTACAAACAAAAATCGCCGTTTGTCACTTTTATTTGCTGACTATTGAAAGCGTACACGTCATTTGTTTGCGTCTGTTTATGCAATGTTTTTCCTTATATAACGTTGATCAAATACCTTGAAATATTATCATACAATCTAGCAATTATATTTAAGACGTTCTCTAAATCAAGCCGCATATTAACACAAGTCATATTATGACATAAAAAATTATTTATGATCATATTTCATTCCGTGACTAAAATTTGTTATTTTATTGACCTCAAATGCATAATTTAAACATCTCTTAATGATGAAAATCGAGGAGCCTCCGGGGGAGGGGTGCCCCCTGGACCCCTACCAGGGCTCTGCACCTGCCTATAGCGGCCCGCTTAACCCCCCGCGTGAACATGCGTAAAATCAATTTCGGCCTAGCTACGCCCCTGCAAAACAAAAAAGCTCTGCCAATTTTCACACATCCTTCGCTTTTCCGTGTAAAGTTTTACTTTCCCACCGGCATACAAGTATTACCCGATATAGATAAACAAGGATGTTGATATTTGTTTGTACCCGGAAGTTCAAATTACCGTGAAATCTCGCAAGTCACATGACGAAACTTCAAAGCGTGAATCGATATCTTTCGTTAAGGTAGACGTATATATATATAGATTTGGGTATACATGCACATGTAGTTTAAAAGTTTGAATGGTAGATATCTAAGTGTTGCTTTTAATACAATGGAACCTGTGTCAAAGAAATTAAAAGTTGAGGATGACAGTTCAGCTTCTGCCCCAAAACCGTTCACACAGAAAGGGTCACATGATGACGAAGTTACATTGGATTTTGGAGAGGAGAAACTTTACGTCCCGCAAATTTTTTTATGTTTAGCCTCCCCAGTATTCGAGGCAATGTTTAGAAATGAGTTTAGAGAGAAGAAAGAGAAACGTGTGGCGATGACTTGGAAATCATATGAAAACTTCCTTGACTTCCTGATGTGTATTCATCCAAGATATCAAAAAGCAGTACACGGTAAGTTAAACATGAATAAGTTTCTCTAGAAGCAAGACCTGTCAATATACAAAGTTACATGTTAAATGGGGAAGTGGCCTTGTGGTTTATATTTAAACTAAGATACAAAGAATGTGAGAATTAGCTCAATTGATAAAGTATAAGCTAGTGTATAGGTTAGTTTAAGAGTAAACGTTTTTTTCTGAATGTTTTGACACATATGCATAATATATTAATTAAGTTAAGTATATCTTGCACATGCTAAAGGAAATGTAATATTAAAACTACTTACATGTTATTTTTGTACGTTCTGACAGTTAGTCAATCATAAATTCAATATGTATATTTTAAGTGATATAAGAGTAAACTGTAAGTACATATAAGTACTTAATAAATCAAATCAATAGCATTTGACGGGCAATAATCAATATGCAAATAAATATTAACTACGTGCATTTGATTTTTTTCAGAACTGAATGTGCTTCGTATTGTTCCCTTAGCTGAGGAGTATCAAGTGACTGCGATGGTAACAAAATGTAAGGCTGCTATGAAGTGGATGTTGTCAAAAGCAGAGGAAACAGCCAAAGGAGGCGCATTTATCATAGAATTACAACTTCAACCATTGAAGAAATGTTTTACTGTATTGCATTCAGCAGTTTCTCTTAATTACACAGACATATCGGTTTTAGCTGTCAATTATATTGCCCAATTTGGATATTGTCTGTACAATGACACTGATTATAGTAAGAATGATGTATTCCGTAATAATACCTTAGATGGCAAAATAAACAACGTGACGACATACGGAGAAGTCCGAAAAGAATGTCAAGCTTTATTTAAAAGTCTGCCAGATGATATTCGCTGCAAGATTCTTTCAGAAAGATTAAAGAAAGTCAATAACAATGATTTTAAGTATTAGATAGTAACCAAAATAAAGATTTCACACAGTCGTAGTGATTGAACTGTTGAAATGAGTATTTCAAAGAAACAATTCACTGAACAACAAGGTATATAAATTTATATATCTTTGATAGTCAAAGCCAAACGAACAATGACCAGTACTGATATAAATACATGGGTGTAGATTATAAAGGCGAACAAAAATTATTTAAAAGAAGCTTCAGTAAATTTAGAAAATTTGATTTGAACAAAAATGTTTTACCTAGTAGCTGGCGCGAATTGTAAGAATAAAGAAAGAAACAAGACTTCAGGTCTTCCAGATATTCCTATTATTCTTTTTGAAAACCATAAATTTGTATTTTATATATTGTCTTTTATTATATTCATATAATATATATAAAGGGGAAAATGATGAAATGATTTATTTTCCGATTTACATTGTAATTATTCATTTACAAAACTATTATAACAATTCAAGAAAATTAATATAATAAGACACTTTACATTATGTAAACCTGAATTTCAGCGCGTACTCATCATGCGTGTAATAAGCAAGTCTACCTCATTGATACACTGCACAGACCTGATAATCTCGTACAGTTGTGTCATGCACGGGCGACCTAAACGCCGATTTCCGGTTTTTACACAGAGCACGTCTCAAATAATCTTATGTCAATATTGAGTAAAACTTTTAACACTCATTCACAACTTCGAAAAAAGAAACAACATTATCGTTACTGAGTTGTTCTGATAAACATTATTGGCGTTACTTCAAAGATTCAGAATCTCAAAAGTCTCGTTTACTATCGCCTCCCATTCCTTGATTTTTTATTTGGGTTCCTAGGTCAGAGTTTGTTAGTTTATAAAAACTGTTTCTTTTGGTTAGATCGGCAAAAATGTGAATAAATCGAAGCAAAAACTCAAATAAATAAAATGTTATTAGATTTATCTGGAAACACAAAAAAGTAATTGAAATATGCCTATTTTAAGTCCATTAATTTTTTTTATTTTGCTGAGTGTAGTTAAATTGTTATAAGCAATTACAATGTAAATAAAAAAGGCATCACATCATTCCTTTTTCGTATTTTTATTCGTATTGATTGACAGCTAGCAAAACAAAACTGCTATTGGTTTTGCAGCAAAGTGAAAATCAACAAAGAAGGTTTTGTTTGTTTGTTTGTTTCATTTTTCGCCCTTTTCCAACAGTATTTCAGTCATATAGGCGGGTAGTTTCCTAACCATCGTTCCTGGAGAGTTACAACAGTACTAGAATACCCTCTTCCGCGCTAAACTACCAAAGCATATCCCGGGGATCGAACCCACGCCATAGAGGTAACTGGATTAGAAGTTATCGACTCTAACCCCTCGACCAAGGTGGAAATTTTGACCAACTCTAGAAAGTTTTGTACATTTCCACCCCTTTAGGTAGTTAATACTAGTTATATGAGTAAAATACAACTATAAGATATCTTATGGTCCCCCTGTTAGTAAACATAACACTATGCTTACACTTTTCTGCAAAAAACTACTTTAAATCAATCTTTTTCTGAAGATGCCGGATAATCGCTGGCTTCCTTGAATTTTGTCAAAGATAATAAGTGGCTCAATTTTGATAATGACCAGGATTTTAATTTCATTTCAACAAAATGTATCAATTAATGATTTTTTTAATTGATTCTTATTTGTGAAATGACGGTCTGTGATAATCCTTTGTCTGTCTGTCTATTTGAACGTGCGTGAATATGTCAACAATTTCTTCAAACGCCACCTCATCTACGGACCTAATGTAAACATTGTATATATTTAAACCAATAGAAATGTTATATTTAAAGTGAAACGGAAATGAGCGTATTGGTGTGGGGAACTACCTTAAAACCTAAACAGATGAAATGATACAGTAAACGAACAACCATTAAGTTCCCATGAAATTCTTGAGAAATTATCGTAATGAACATGATGCCTGTTTATTCTTTTTGCATGTTATTCATCAAATATGAAAGTAGTTCATTTTTCACATGCAGAATTGCAACACTTGGGTATCAATGTACTTAGAGAATTTGTTATAGTTATGTTGGTAAATATTCAGGTAAGATATGTTAAATGTGATGTGATAATTATATGACAAGGAATCGTCACAAGTAGTCCTGTAATATATTGACAATTCCTCGTATAAGGTTAGATGTAAAAAGAATTAACTCGACTCCGTACGAAACTTATATAACAAACGCATTTAAGAGGAGCCCTTTTTCTGTCTGATGGATAAAATGAAAGATAGAAACAACAGCTGACAAAGTTGAATCATAAAAATAACACTGTCAAAATCTAGTCTTACAAACACAAGTTAAACAAATAGCTACTAATATATAACAGAAAACGATTTGTGTTTTAAATAGGTTACTTTTGTAATGTTCAGGTTAGTAGGCACAGAGAGAATATTCTTATTAGAAAATTTATATATTTTATTATGTTTGAGTATGCTGTTTTTTTTAGATATCATTTTTATATACTTGAGGTCCTGAAAAAATATAAATATGAAGGTCGCTTCCATAGATCATAGATGGATACTTGAAGGAAATAAAATGTGCGACTTAAAGCTAATGATAAAAAGCCAGCAGAAGCAAGCGATTATCCATCTCACTTAGACAGTTTTACCATAATGTGATTGTTAAACAACCGAGGAACTAAAAAGTATCAGATGCAAAATGTAGTTATAATTTCTTCACATAACAACCTCAAAGGTGGTAGAAAATTTATTAAGATTTGTGAAGTAGGTCAAAATTTCCACCTTCTTTGTTCATTTTGACAATGAAAAAGAGACTTCCTGCAAAATTCCATATAGTTTTATATTGCTAATGTATGCTACGAACAATGTCAATCAAGAAACGGGATTAAAATCATCGTGAATAAAGGACAAGAGTAGAAATACTGACGGTACTTTTTTCACTATTCTCCAGACTTCTTGCCTGTTATTGACGTCAGCACATTACCTATCATTATCAGCTATCAATATAGAATTAATTGTAGTAATTATTTTGATGTAAAACTATTTAATTCAGAAAGGTTATAAGAGCATGAAATATCATATATCAATTAATAGAATGTAATCAAAGGTTATATAGGATATGACCGTATAAGTAAGCCTTTCTAAATGTTTAGACATTCCTATGCATCTTAAGCTATTTTGAAACTAATTTATGAGGCCTAATGGGTCTTTAAAGATCATCAGTGACATTGAATATAAATAATATTATTATTGCATATTCAATAGTCTGCAAATGGCCTACACTGTAAGTAATTTGCATTTTTCTTATAATAATTAGTAATCTTAACTAAAGTTATTTACAAATGAAATATGAAATTAAAGTAATGAAATATGAAAAGAAAACAATTGAGAGTGCTATTTTAAAATAACATGCACTAATCAAAAAAGATCAATAATTTCATTCGATTCTAACAATTATATACATTAGAAGGTTATAACTGTAAGAAGGTATAGTGGCTAATTTCTATGGTGACTGATTTCTGCCATTTCGTGTCAGAAATCAGCCAACGCAAAAAGGAGATGTTTTTGTCGTACCTGAGAATTTCAATTACACATCAACACACTTTCTCACGTGCACGTGACCAGATTCCCAGGACAGTAACACAATGAACACAACATATTCAATTCATACAATTCAAAATGATATTTTGATCTTCATAATAAATACCATACACACATACGATGTTTATTAATTCATCCAATTATGGAATAGAACTAGATAATTTTTAATCAGTGTTCGAATTAAAGGGTTAACCATTGCATTTTGGTGACATTTTTTTTCAGGCTATCCTAATGTGTCAAAGAGTAATGTTGAATTTCCAAATTTGACTGTAGCAGACGCCTTACTCCTGTTTAATTTATTTTGTGATAAACAATGTCGTGATATAAGGATATTATAAAGGCACATATTAGAACTTTGTACAAATGTACATTTTAGTGAGGATGAAATTAAGGACATTGTTGCCTCTAATGGGAATAGTAACCATTTGCTTCAAGTAAAGATTTAGTAGGTTTCAAAGAAGTGTGTAAATTTTGGAACATGCAACCATAAATCTGTGATCCAGTTGATAAACAAATCATGCCTTTGCATAGTGATCAGCATACACCCATATAATACTTTTTCTCTAGATATTGCGATCCTTTCAACTGATGAACAAAGTTTGTTGAAAAGTATTTCATTCTAATAGATGACGAAAGGTTAATATCATGAAATCATGTAATTGAAATCATAACAATTTGATTTCATGGTCGGTTGTTCCTGATTCAAAATGGCCTTCTTATCGGTCATGAATTTTGTTGTTGACTTTATCGGACGCTGGATAAAACGTAGGGATGTTTTTTTGGTTGGGTTTTATGTCGAACCAACACAGTATAAATCATATGGTGGAGGAAGACCTAAGGTGCTCCTGTGTACATTTGTGTACTTGACAATATATTAAATAAAACATTTTTGACATCGCATGTCTTTGTGAAAACAAGTGGTCACCGCGAATCACAGCTGAAAATGAGCCTTCTCGATACTGATTTCCACCACATTTGTCTGATGTAGCATGACAACGTACGCGATAGTTTCTATGCATTGCGGTACTACTAAGGCAAAACCATGAGAGTTTTACTATTTAAAGATAAACGTTTTTTATTGTTTTTTCCCTATTCCGAAGCGGTCGGAGATGAAACTTTGAAAAGGACATTTTCCTTTTGTTGTTTTCATTTCGAACTTCATTGCCCAAAATTCAAGGCTTTTTTGTAAACCAATATATTAAAAAGTTATAACCTTGTTTTAAATTGTATGTATCATAAATGTAAACATTTGGAAAAAATAGTATTTTGTTTCAATACAAGTTCTTCATATTTTGTCAGTTGATTCTAGGTAATGTATTTAGAATAAGTCAAAGCTACTAATTCTTTGTGAGAAAATATTAGAATAAAGATCAACCAGTACAAACACGTAATGCAGTATGTATTGTAATTGGGAGAGCTTTTGATAACAGTGAACTAAATATGGTAAGCACTTACAAATACACGTCTACCAATGACTCAAGCAACATTCAGCTTTAACAAATTATCCCGCAGGACTAGGGAAATTAGATAAGATCGAGTAAAACTAGATATTGTCACTTATCACTGTTTGTTGTGAATGTCGAAATGTGTTTACACAAAGCTCGTCCAAGAAAAATGAATAACAGTGAGTTACCTATGCTAATAGTTAGAAGACTGTCACGTGAAATTTGAGTACACGGATTGTGACGGAAACCTAAAAAAAAAAAACAAGCAAACATAACACATAAAATATTTAGGTAGTGACGTAAAATTTTCAAAACCAAACGAAACACATAAAGTCTTCACGTTTCTTTGCTTCTTTAATAGTAATTGCATTAGAGTCATTGCTACCAAAATCTTAATATTAACCATTATATATAGTTGATCTACTAATTAAAAAATGTTTTCAAATGTTTTTAAATTATCGATTTTCATGTCTTAAGAAAAATATTTTGTAGTTTCAATAATTGCAAAAATCGGAGTTTTGTTCCCACCATAAGTTAAGCTGGAAATTGTCATTTGATCTATATGGGCGAGTTAAATCCCAATGATAAATGACAAAAAAATAAATAAAATAAACCAAAAAAACAAACAACATCACAGGTAGGGCTTGCAAGAGAGGCTATTCGCCATGGTTCAGCCCTAATCAATGCCACCTCCTTCATACAACAATAATAATAATAATAATAATAATAATAATGATAAAAACAATAATAATAATAATAATAATATTAAAGTCTTTATTTTCTTAATGAAGGAAGCTTCTTAAGACAATTCATCAAAACATTAGAGATAACACATATAACGCAAAATCTTATTTCACGATCACATACACAGAAGCACAAGAAAAAATAAGAAAAATATACATACTGTAGGGAAATAGAAATAAAGAAGAAAGTGATGAAATAACTTAAGTACTGAAAGCTTAGGACAGAACAATATCATTTAATCTTTACAGATCATTACTCTGGTTTATGAAAATAAAGTTGACTCTTATTCAGATTGAATACAGTACTTAGCTTTAAAAAGGTATTTGTAGACGTCAAATTGTTGACTAGTTACATCATGACCTTGGCAAGATTTTTGTACCATTTAATACTATGATATGGGCAAATTTATATGAAAACTAAAGATATAAAAAGGAAGGAATGAGATATTTGATATACTATATATAATGCTAATAGGATAATCCGATATCCACAATATATTTTAAGTGGGCGAAGGGTATTCATAATAAAGCAATGTATACAATAATTGTATTGATTTTCAGAAAGTCTAATATCAGGACTTCGTGTCATTTACAAATCATTTTTCTGCGTTTGAAAAGCTGACCTTCAAGCAATAAATATTCGTCGCCCTGCATATAGCTATATATTTTTTAAGTACTTTAGCTTTTTACACTGAATGATACGCTTATAATTCTATCATTATATTTACATTGACAACCGGTTATACATCGTCGGATACCCACGGCCGAACCATTAACATTTATCTACCGTGGGATTTTTTGCCGATATTCAGTCGATTAGGGGTGTGTCAAAGGCAGCTATTTCATTGGATGCCTCACGATTTCATGAGGCGATTAAAACCAATCAAAACGCTCGTTCTGTACGACGTTCGGTATTACAAACAATATTGCGACACCCATAGACGACGTGAAAAGTTCAACATCGAAAAATTAAACGATTTCAGCAAGAAAGTATAGATAATTTACTTTGATGTTTTCCTTTCTGATTGATATCTGCTTGCAGAAGAACTGATTTGGCGATAGTTTTTGACATTGATTTTAGCAAAACACGTGCAACAGTATTTAACCGTGGGCGCTGCCATTTTGTTTCTTATTGTTTTTTACCTCCGCTGCTGAAGAATATAGATTTGTTAAACGCGATGTCATTGGTAGATATTTTACGCACCTGTTGCTGTATATCGACGCAAATCGATTCATTTTACCCACGGTTGATTGCATGTTATGTGACATGTTTATCAATCGTGGGTATCCGACGATGCCGGTTATATTGACAGTTTTAAATCAAATAACTGATTTGAAGAAATACACTATTTGTATAATAATCGTAAAGGGATATTTATTTATCAATACAATCTTTCGATAAGTTATACGTATATAGATTATGATACACTGTAAATTTATGTGTGCATATAAATTTTAACGTTTAAAAATCATGGAACCTGTGTCAAAGAAATTAAAAGTTGAGGATAACTGTTCAGAACCGTTTACACAGAAAGGGTCACACGATGACGAAGTTACATTAGCTTTTGGAAAGGAGAAACTTTATGTCTCGAAGAATTTTCTATGTTTAGCCTCCCCAGTATTTGAGGCGATGTTTAGAAATGAGTGTAGAGAGAAGAAAGAGAAACTCGTGCAGATGATTGGTAAATCATATGAAGACTTCATTGACTTCCTGCTGTGTATTCATCCAAGAATTCTGAAAGAAGTAAACGGTAAGTGAAACATCGGATATCAATAAAAGTTAGTTAGAGGTGATCATTTTGATGCGAAACTTGTTGCTGGGTCGTGTGGGGGTTGCGTTCATTGAACGCCGCCTTTCCTTGTTGATCTTGTTTATCATATTGTCAATACATGAATGGTGTAAGAGAAAACATCTAATGTCTACATTGACAAAGTTTATATTATAAACAGATGTTTAAATTGCGTGTATATATAGGTAATGAATGCATAAGTAAGGATGTTTTTTTGGCCGAATGCCATCTAAAATTAGTTTGACTTCCTGTAAAATTTACAAGTAAGAAATCAATATAAGAAGAATTTTTATTGGTCCTTTTGTCTCCGCGAAAATGCCGACGTTGTGAAAAACGCGAAATATTGTATCCGCAAACATTTCTAGGAATACAGTAATTCCCTGGTCATCTAACGAGATACCCTTATATCTGTTCCATAATAAAGATGTTTATATGTATTTCCCTCATATATGTTCTTTAAGAACTACAGTGTTTATGCACCTTAAAGACCAGATGACCCTTCTTCAAATATATTCCATCACTACTAATGTATATTTACAACTAGATGATTCCCTGCTCATCTTACATTAACCTCTCGTGCATCTTCTATCAAAACTAGAGTATATTTTCGTGTAGATGATCTCTTGGTACTCTTATAATGTGATTCCTCATATATCTTCTTAATGAACATAAGTATACATTGTGTACATGTGCATTCAGATGATCCTATAATCATCTTACTTGATATCCTAACACAGGCTCATATGCTGATTAAATTATTAGGCATATGAATGAAAAACCGTTATTGTAGAATTATATGTCCTGAAGTTTAAAGCCTGTTTCCATTTTTTTAGACATATGCATATATTTATTAGGAGGATTAAGCATATGCATTATTTCACAGTGACGCTGATGATTTCCATAGATAAAGTCTATTTTAATCAGGATGATGACGCTTTATCAGAAATTCGTTCTTAATTTATAGGCGGGGCTAAATATGCAAAGTGTACTCTCACTCGATCCCTTTTTCCGTTTACCGGTTATGAACCGTTTTAAAGTCTATTCACAACTGTTTTTGTTTCTGAAATCAAGGTCGGTTAAATTTCTTATTTTAATAGTACTGTTAATATTGTATATGATAACAAAGTTATTCAGAAAAAAAAAAACGTAAAAAAAAACAAGTAATAGGTAAAAGTCGTCCCACTTTGAAGAGACACCAATATCAATATGCTTATAATTTAATTTCTTTGTTTACAAAATGGGTTTTTTTTTCTCTTAGCTACAAACAAGTAATTATGTCATTGTTATGAAATCATTGTTTACATTTCTATATGTATTGAAAACTTAGAAATAACATTTATCAAGTTAACTAGTTTTACTTTGGCCAACATCCTTTTTAAGACACTTATTGTTTCTAAATGTTTTGACACTCATATGAAGTTAAGTCTATCTTGCATGTGCTTATATATCCTAAGCTAAGATTATATTATTAAAAGAATCTTACACCGGCTGCCGGTACAGACCGGAATATCTAGCTCGAGGGTAACTGTTTACGGCGGTAACGAGGCTCTGCCGAGTTTCCGCTAAACAGTTACCCGAGAGCTAGATATTCCCGTCTGTATCAACAGCCGGTGTTTGATTCTTTTTCTTGCATATTACATGTCAATAATTTTCGGAACAGAAATTATGAAAACTGATATTCTCATTACGCACTTTTTTTATAGTAGCGTATGAACTTACAACTTCATTCATAACGGAAAAATGACGTCATCCTAAGAACGCGATTCATTCATAAAAGGCGCGCGTCAATGACTTCATTTAAAGCACGCGACTTGTCTTACATGGGGGTGTAAGACAGAGTTTTCTAGCACCGGTGTAAACGGTAGATAATCCTGTCTGAGATGCAAGAAAACTACGTGCATGCTAGTGTACGTTTTGTCAGTTGGTCCATTATAAATTCAACATGTATATGCTTTAAAAGAAATAAGAGTACACAGTTGATAATATACACTGTATAATATAAGTACATAATAAGTCAAATCAATAGCAACTGACGGTCAGGAATAACTTAATATGCAAATAATTTTAAACTACGTTTATTTGATATCTTTTCAGAACTGATTGTGCTTCGCATTGTTCCCTTTGCTGAGGAATATCAAGTGACATCGATTGTAACAAAATGTAAGGCTGTAATAAAGTCGATGTTATTAAAGGCCGAAAAGAATGCATCAAACGTTTGTATAAGTGTAACGCAACTAAAACCATTGAAGAAGTGTTTAAATATATTGCAATCCGCAATTTCTCTAAATTACACAGACATAACAGCTTTAGCTATCAAATCTATTGCCAGGTTTGGATACTGTCTGTACGACGGACTTGATCAGTCTAAAGATTTTTTCAGTCGTACTTATCCAGCGTTAGACAACAAAATAGATTATACCAAGGAGACGACATACGGTGATTTATATAGAGAGTGTGGTGTTCTCTTCAAAGGTCTCTCGCTTGATATCCGCTTCAAAATTCTGTCAGAAAGATTAATAAAAGTCAGTGACAATAATTTTAAGTAATTTATAGTGATCAGACACGGCTTCATTTTCTACTTTCAAAAGGAGTTGATTTTTTATAACGTACACAATACACTGAGTACATGTATGAGTGACGTTGACAATCAAAATAAAGTACACGGACCATTATTTTAATAATAATAATAATAATAATAATAATAATAATAGGCAGAATATTGGTAGTGGTTGTATAAATAATAATCATCATCATTAGGATAATGTTTAAAGATATTGAAATATAATGTGATGGGCATGAAGTTTGACTACAAAAAATCTAAAATAAAATAATTGTAATTACAAATGGTGAATATGAAAAAAAAATATGAATGGCTTTTATGAAGACTAGCTCTACAACATCGATCCCGTAAATAATATCTCCATGTAAAAATATACTGGTTTATTTAATTTTACCTATTGAATATGGTGCTATATCAGTTAAATATATTTCATATTTTTAAAAAAAATAGATATGAAATATAAATATGAAAGTGGGCGGAGTCAAAAATCATATCTATTTTATAGGACTTCTTTCGCCAATTTGTTTGAAAATTCTGATAAATACAAAACAACTTTTTGTTGAATTTTGTTTTGAAAACTATCTAGAATGATAGAAAATGGTCTAACTAAGAAATAAATCCGAACACCAGTACCTTACCTCAGTCATTAACGCTATACAGACGTTTAAGGAATTGTTTACGTGACGTCACAATGTAGCGCTAAATATCGCGTGCAACCAACAAGACAATTATTATATTACTGCGCGCTGTACTATTGCAGTTGCGTAGCAAGTAAGGGGGTTCGTAACCATTTTTCTTTGATAATGAAATTAAATGAAAAGGTTATTTTTTTCGTTTTTCGTGAAATATTGTATATACTTTCACTCAACATGATAAAATGCCACATATTTTCACTCGCCGTCCCGGCTCGTGAAAATATGTGGCCTTTTATCATGTTTCGTGAAAATATATTCCATATTTCACTCAAACGAAAAAATATCCTCTTAATAAACTCCTTCATTGTCTTAATGTCATATCGTTGCAAAATATGTTCATGTCATGCAAGCATATTAAAGCCAGAAAGATACGAAAGCTTCTAAAATATGATGATTTTAAAATATTTAACTACATGTAAATGGTAATTACATACTTACATATTGCACTAAAATCTATGAATGATTCTGGCATATAAAACTTTTTACAATATTGTAAATACTTGCTAAGTGTTAATTATTCTGTAAACTAATCATGCACACATCTTGCACAAGAAGTATGGAAGGAAGTCATTGTATATTGATTAGATATCATGGAAAAGGTTTTTATTTGTTTGAGTCGTCAGGCAAAACAAATAATGATAGCGAAATTTCAGACTCTGATGCTGTTAATTGCAAATGCCGAAAGTAGTCCGCTTTTTTGAAGCGGTTACTTCCCTTTATATGTACACTAACGCCGAAAAATAGGGGAGATCACTGTGTAAAGATTGTCAAATGACATACGCATTAATTTTCAAGCAAAATAGTTCCCGAATGGTCGAAGATTTCTAATATTGTTTTATTCTTTACAGATATACATGCTTATAGTAAGCTCCATGATTATTTACATCTGTTTTAGCGTCGAAATAATAAGTTACAAACCCTAATAAGGAATAATTTTTTTCTTCAGACCGTGAATACATAACTTCACCGTGACCGAGGGGTTTGCACGCTCGCTTAAGAATCGAAAGGTTTGGAGTTCAAATCCCAGTTCAGGCAACTATTTTTTCAAAAATGGTTTAAGTTATTGAATTGAATATCAGTGTTGCAATTAGTCTTATAGCCAATTTACTACAGTTAAAACACTGGAAAGCATTGGTGGCACTATACAAAAACAAATTGGTTTATAATCTCACAACCTTCACCTTTCTGACATTCTGAGACCCAAACAAATTCAGCGCCTTCTATGCTTTGATTTTGATACTGATGTACACAACCATAGATTTCCTAATTAACTAAAGATTATGATATCAGCAGCAACCTCGTCAAACATAACAGTATATTTACTGATTTTGCATTGTTTAAAATGAAAAAGAAAAATTGATTGTACCCTGTAAAATTTATTGGAAGAAATCCAGAATCCTACTAAATGTTTCAAATCAAATGTTGAATTTTAAATAAATTATTGTTATAGTCACAAATTACAATGTACGTATGTCTTTGGGTTATATACCTGTACAAATTAAATCCGGCAAATTAGAGATTCTGTCTATATAATCTACCAACATTCAAAATAGTGCGTTAATCACACGTGTATCCCACCGTTAAGGTATACCGCAAAAAGACTAGTACTGGCATTGCCGAAACTGAGCAATCTTTTATCAAAGATGAGTTCTATGTATTTAGATTTCTGATAGACAGATGGCAGTTATGAGTTTATTTTTCTTTATTGTTGTAATTTAATGAACAACTCATTAAAAATATTGATGTTGATTCATGAAATGTTAGTAATAAGAATTACATTTATATTGGTATATCTGATATATGCATAATTATAATTACGAGTTTTTAGTGCTATTACTGTTTTGTTTGTAGACATGTATTTCAGATTTACAAATAAATATATTGAGTTGAATAGAGCTAATTTGAGTTACTTGCAATTATACGACTAACAATGGCGCAACGACTTAAGTCCTAGCCTTTTTATTCAAAATCAACGTACGCTGTATCCCTTTTATAGCAAAGCATCTGTAAAAAACAAATTCAAAAGGAAAGAACAAAAAAATCACAAAATAACATTTAACAGTGTAAACATAACTTTAAGTACCCTACAATTACCGCAACATACTTTAATGGTTTTTTTTTTAAACACCACACGTATTGGTGCTTTATTGATAAATTTAATAAAATCAAGCCATACAAGCCGATTTTGTTTATACGGAAATAATGAAAACGGGTTCGAAAAAAATTCAAAATAACATTCAAACAAGCTTACATTGAGAAAATACGTGGGGGCGTTAAAAATATTCATGAAAAGGTAACGATATTGTCAAGTTATTTGCGTTATTATAAATTTGTTAGTGCGTCTGGTTCTATTTCACAGCGAATATCAAAACTGAGCATCGATAAAGTCTATGAGAACTTCCGCTGATTCAGATTTGAACTTTAACACCATATAGGAAGAGAAAATACACGCATGTCAATCAAAGTTTTCAACTTTTAAACAGTTGTGTAAAATTTAAAGCTTACTTTACGAAAATCGAAATGTGATTCTACTTACCTGACTTTTATGCTGTCTCTTCAGCATATATGGAGCTCGTCTGGAATTTATATTTAGGCCGGCATTCATTCGTTTGGAGCCAAATCTCAGTAAATTTTCAATATCTCTTTTTAATGTTGATAAAATTTCATAAAAAATCATTATCTTGAATCCCTTTATTGATATTCTTTCGTACGCATTACATGGTTTCGACACATCATTCAGACTATATTTTCCCATATATCCCGTCAGACAATTGTGTATATGACTAATAATATACTTTAAATGCCATAGACTGCTCTCATCATGTCGAAAAGAAAATTAAGATTAATTGCATGTTCAATACTATGCAAATGGCCTACGATGTAAGCAGTTTGCATTTTTCCTTAATCAGTAATCTAATTAAAGTTATTAACAAATGAAATATGATATAGAGGATATTTGTTTGTTTTGCATGTAAGATTGAAATATAATTTCACTGAGTGAACACCAGATGCAATATTTTCACGAGTGGCGTAGCCACGAGTGAAAATATAATAGCTGGTGTTCACGAATGAAATATTTTTCAATCTTATATGTAAAACAAATAAATTTTCTTTTTATTTCATGCTTTTTAAGTGATTTTAAGTATTTTTTACTGGTTTTGCCGCGTAACGTCACGCATTCTCCTTTGTGACGTCATAACATCATGACGTCACATAATCAATTTTGAAATATAGTTCTGTTAAATTTCTTTAATTTTGTTACGTTTTTAACATGATGTATGATGACATCGACTTTCTTTTCCTAAAGAAGCAAAATTTACGCACGACGGCATTAATTTCTGCCTGTTATTCCATTTAGTTATGATTTTCTTTTCATCCGCATTCAGATATAGTCCGGCTACAGTGAAAATTATATTTTATAAATTTCACTAGTGGTTTATCAGAATATAATCATCTGATATATTACAATAAAACACTGGAAAGCATGAAATAAAAGAAAACAATTGAGAAGCTTAAAGAATACTGCTAAAATAACATGTACCAATATGAATAAAGATCAATAATTAAATTTGATTCTAACAATAACATACATTAGATGGTGATAACTGTAGGAAGGCAAGGTGGCTGATTTCTTTGGTGGATGTTTTATGCCGTTTAGTGTCAGAAATAAGCCACCAAGAAAGGAAATGTATGAGTTGTACCCAAGAATTTCAATTACAGCTAATCATATTTTCTCGCGCGTAACCAGAATCCCAGAACATGTTCAATTCATACAAATAGATATTAGCATTATAAATACTTTACACAAATACATTGTTTTAAAAAAACTCGTCCAATTATGGACAAGAAGTAGATAACGTCGTTCTTGATGGGTGACATAGTTATGTTGGGATCAAGGTGGCATTTAAACGGTTAACCATTACATTTTTGGTGACATATTTTTTCTGGCTAACGCAATTTCCCATACAGTAGTGTTGAACTTCACAATTGCTTTATAACAAACACCACACCCTGTCTACTTTATTTTTTGAAAATCAATGTCGTGATTTAAGAAATCTAGATTTGTAAAAATGTATATGAAATGACTTTTTAGCGAGAATCAAATAAAGGGCGTTTCTGCCTCTGTTTGGGAATTGTAATCATTCGCTGCAAGCTGATGTTGAGTAGGTTTTTCAAGGAAGGAATTGCTGAACTTGCAACTATCAATCAAATTCAGTTGATAAAAAACTTGATGCCTTTGTATAGTAATCAAAATACACACAAATAACAGTTCTTTATTGGATCCTTTGATCGTTTTTATAGATGAACAAAGTTCATTGAGCGGGATTTCATTCATATAGATAATGAAATCACAATTTGGTTTTATGTTTGGTTGTTCGTGTTTCAAAATGATATTAATATTCAACCATATTGGCCTTCTTATCTGTCATAAAATTTGTTGTTAACTTTATACGAAGCTGCAGAGATAAAACGTGGTGTTGTTTTTGATTGGGTTTTCAATGCATCAACACAGTATAAATCATATGACGACTCTCAATGTTTAATGGTGGAGGAAGATCTAAGGTCTCTGTGTATATTATTTTAGGGAAAAACGGCCTGTGTAGACGTTCAGTAAGCTAGCTGGATATTTTTCTCACATGTAGAATCAGACGACGCATGCTTGGCTCAAAGAGGCGAGTGGTTGAAATCAACGACAATGAAATGTAAATCAATTTTCTTAACTTAAATTACAAATCAAACATTGGGTGTATTGTTTTAGTTCACATGCTCTCGTGTAAACAGCGGTTGACATTAGTATATAAACGAGGGGGGAAACAAATGTTCACTGCGAATCGAATCGGAAAATGAGCCTTCCCGATACGGATTTCCATCACATTTGTCCTATGTAGCGTAACGTCCACGATGGTTTCTATACAGACAAAAAAATTCGTGGTTTACTATTTTTACTTTTTTTTTTTTAAAGTAATATGTTTTTTTAATATATTTTTTGTTCCTATTTCGTAGCGGTCGGAGATGAAACTTTGAAAAAGACGTTTTCCTGTTGTCGGTTTCCTTTCAAATTTCATTTCTCGAAAACAAGGGTCGGCTTTTTTGTAAACCTATATAAATAGTATTTAAAGTTATAACCTTTTTCAAAAATGTAAACATTTGAACGTTTCAATACAAGTAATTCATATTTTGTCAAATATTCTAGATAACTATTTATAATACATCAAAGTTGGCAATTCTATTGCAGAAAATATAAAAATAAGGATCAACCACCACAAACACGGGATGCAGTATTTAGTTATTGGGAGAACTTTTGATAACAATGAAATGAAAATGTTTAAACTTTTATCCCTTAGGAGTAGGGAAATTAAACATGATCGAAATAAACTAAATACGGCCACTGTTTGTTGTGAATGTCAAAATTTGTTATACAAAGTTGGTCCGAGAAAAATGACAACAAACAAATTGCAAACTCCAGTGAGTTATCTGTGCTGATAGTTAGAAGACGGTCATGTGAAATATGAGTACATGAAAAGCTGGAAATAAAAACAAAGCAAATATTTAGTTAACGTAGCATTTTAAAAACGAAACTAACCAGACAGAGTCATCAAGTGTCTTTGCTTCTTTGATAGTTAGTTACTGCATTGGAGTCATTGCTTCCAAAATCTTAATATTAACCATCAATAGAGCTGATCTACTAATTAAAAGATATTTTCAAATGTTTTTTAACCAATGAATTTCATGTATTTTCTGGCAAATATTTTGTAGTTTCAAAAATTGCAAAGATCGGACTTTTTGTTTTCCACCATAAATAAAGCTTGAGTTTGCCATTTGACTGTTACAGTGTGCGACTTAAAGCTACATCGATTAAATAAATTTCATAAAAAATGAATTAGCTACATCTCGTTAATTAAATATGTTTCATATCGGCTCCCGTTCTTATTTTGGTGTTCATACAACAAAAATGAGTTTTATAAGCCATAAATCTACAACCTCATTGTGTTGAAATCGGAAGTACAATTTCTTTTTGCCTGAGAAACTCCACCTTTGGGTCATCCGTACCAAACATTTTTCAATAGCAGTCCGAATTTACCGGTATATTTCCGCATTATATAACTGATGTTTTAATATGAATTCACTACTTTTTGTGATATGTAAATGACAGAGCTAATGCACCGTGAAACTAAAACGGTACACGTTTGTTTGCACAATAACGTCTCTTGTTTGCTGTGTTCCACACGGTTACAATTGATTTTACCATTGTGACGTAGCGCATACACAAGCTTAATTATACAAGTCTTCAATTGCATGTTAAAATTCGTATACGAACTTTATTGTTAACTTGGGGTTTCCTTTTAAAATCATAACTTATGAACAAATTTCAATGTGATTTACAACAATACTGTTAAAGATATTAACAAAACTATAGAACGCTTGGTTTTAAGCCGACGGAAAAATATGTTTACATATTTCATTTAATGTTGCTTTAAATCCGAATCAAAATTATCAACAACAACAGCAACAACAAAATTCAACAACAACAAAACAACAAACAATAATACAAAGTAACAATTACCAAGTGAGAGCAAAAAAGCAGAACATTCGCCAATGTTCAGTCCTAATCAAGGACACCTCCAAGCACTTAAGTTTTTGCGGTCACTGTACAATGACCAATTTATCTTTTTGGCTGAAACTCTGTGGAAGTTGCAGAGTGGAGTTGTGGAGGTAAATTATCATAAATAAGCGCTTAATGAGCATGATTTATGACATTTTGAGGTCCGAATCAGATAATAATAATAATAATAATAATAATAATTATAATAATAATAAAAATAATAATATTAACAATAATAACTATAACAAAGTCATTATTTTTTAACGAAGGTAGCTTATTAAGGCAATGCATCAAAGCATTAGAGATAACACATATAATACAAAATCTTATTTACAACACGGCCTTTTATAAAGATAACAATGTACATATTACAATCAATAATAAAGATTACAACATTCAGTACATCTACAACAAAGAAGACTGACATAATATTATAGTACAGGTATTTTTGTCTATAATTCATGTCTAGATAATGATAGGCGTCCGCGCCGATGCGCGACGCCCTTTAAGGAATGAAATCAGATTTGTGAAGATCAATTACAAAATCTCGGGCCTTTTCGTCTGTCATAAGAGCCGATCATTCCGATTGGTATGAGGAAAAATGAAATGTCGCGATATGTACAATGAATAGCGAACTGGAGAATTTCGCAATGCAAACATATTCAAATGAAATTATCTTATCCGTCAATTAATAGCGCTCTTCGGATATTTTATTAACCCATTACTCGATATACACACCTTTAAACGCCTTTATCAGCCGCCCCCCTTTTTGTTGTCTCAAATGTTACAAAATGACTTATTTAGGCCCCAACACTTGTTTGAGAAATGTTATTTAAAAAGTGACCACTTTTTCGGGGCCGCCCCCTAACCAAATGATACATCAGGGGTTGTCAGAAGGGGGATGTGCTCCCTTCTGTTTTGGGGGGTTGAAGGGGGCAGCAGTTCCCTCATCGCCAAGAAAATTTTGGACTTGTGAGAGGCTAAAATGAGCCCAGATCGATTATATGGTAACGTGTAACCAACGCTGAAAAGCCTTTGACTCTATCTCAATCCATTTAGAAGTTGCAGCACTTTGAAATCAATTTTGATGGAAAAATCAACGCAAAAAAGTGATTTTTGGCAATTTTGAGATTTCCCCTCGTTGCCATGGTAACAGGAAATTTAAGACTGACCATGAAGTTTCAAAGGCAATGGTCCAGATAACATTTGTGCCAAGTTTGGTTAGTATTGAAACAGTTTTTATAGTGTTATAGCCATTTTAAACAGCCATTTTTCACAAAATGCTCATGCAGTAATTGGTTAATTATGTGGGTTATTAACTTATTATGTATGTTACTGCTGTACCTATATATAGAATGATGACATTAATATTGTGAAAGTCCGAAAATCTATTTATAGAAGTAGTTTTAGTTAAACGAAACGATCATTCGTGTCGCGCTATGGTAATAAATAACGAACTGGAGAATTGCAGAAAAATAATATTCAAACAATTAATTGCACTCTTTAAACATAAATAGAAAAAAATTAAGAAGGTTGTTATTACGAATTGTTATATCATTGTATTATCATTTTGAAATTGTCTTTTTCGTAGGTGTCTCCGGTTTTCTTTTTACGGCCCTGATTGCACTGATGACATTTTTACCTTGAAAGACCTAGTTCATAACTTTAAATGTTGCTTTTCTTGACGTTGTGCGAGAGTTAACAGTACTATGAAACCAATTGCTGGTCAAGTCTCTTTAGGTAACTGTTCTATATTTTGTTTGAAGGCAATCGATTTTATGGTAGTTTGAGTGGAATGTTCATTTGCCGAATATTGTGACATTTCACTTCGTCTGCAATTTTAACATGAGTTGTTATGGGTTTATTGATAGGAATGTAAACACACTGGTGGGTCAGATGATGTTTTTAAAGTAATTCATTAAAAGAGTAGATCGGCCTCCCAATAAATCAATTAACAGCTTTGTTCATTTTGACTACTATTTTGTATGTTCCAAAGAAAATAATAAACTATCAAATAACAAATATTAATGATAATATCCAAAAATACCCTCTATATAATAATATAAATAAACTCAACCATATAGGGGTATATTTTGGATATTAAGACGCCCTATGATGCTTTGCATAAGTGCTTTTTTGTAAATGTTTGACATGCGATTACAAGCTACTCTTGTGCCTTTAAGCACTCTCCCCTCAATTGACACGATCACACACACAGAAGCACAAGATGAAATAAGAAAAATATACGTACTGTAGGGAAAATAGAAATAAAGAAATCAGTGATGAAATAACCTAAGTACTGAAAGTTTTGCACAAAACAATATCATTTTATCTTTACAGATCATTACTCAGGTGTATGTAACTCCTATTCAGATTGAATACAGAAGCTTTGAAAAGACATTTGAAAACATCAAATTGTTGACTTAATACATTATGTCTTTGGACCAGACCATTTAAAACTATGATTTATGTATATTTATATAAAAACTAAAGGTATAAAAAAAGGAAATGAGATATTTGATATGCTATATATAATGCTAAAAAGGTTAATCCGGTATCCGCAATATATTTTAAGTGGGCGAAGGGTATTTAAAATAAAGCTTTGTATAAAAAATTGTATTGATTTTCAGAAAATCTAATATCAGGACTACGTGTCATTAACAGATCAGTTTTGCCGTTTGAAAAGCTGACCTTCAATTGCACTATATATAGCCATATTTCTTTTAATTAGTTTTTTAGCTTTTTACACTAAATGATACGCTTAACATTCTATCATTATATTTACATTGACAAACGGTTATATTGACAGTTTTAAATCAAATAACTGATTTGAAGAAATACACTATTTGTATAATAAGCGTAAATGGATATTTATCAATACACGTACTCTTTCGATAAGTTAGGCGTGTATAAATTATCGTATACTGTAAAATTTTGTGTACATTTAGATTTTAACGTTTAAAAATCATGGAACCTGTGTCAAAGAAATTAAAAGTTGAGGATAACATTTTAAAACCGTTCACACAGAAAGGGTCATAAGATGACGAAGTTACATTAGATTTTGAAGAGGAAAAACTTTATGTCTCGAAAAATTTTTTATGTGTAGCCTCCCCAGTATTCGAGGCGATGTTTAGAAATGAGTTTAGAGAGAAGAAAGAGAAACGTGTGGCAATGACTTGGAAATCTTATGAAGACTTCCCTGACTTCTTGCTGTGTTTCCATCCAAGATATCTGAATGAAATAAACGGTAAGTTAAACTGTAGACCTTGATATGAACACTGACAAAGGTCGAAAAGATGTGCGATTTAATAGTTTAAAAAGGATATGAGAATAGTTTGTTAATTTGAAATTGAATTTATATGATAGGCAGTTAACATTCTCATTGTTTCCAGTGAATTTCATCCTTGTAATCTGAATTTAGCTTGTATGAGGGTCAACTGACTGAACAAGTTATATCAGTGATAATCTAATGTAGGCATATACTTCTGACCTATTTTGATTTCTTTGCAGAACTGAATGTGCTACGTATTGTCCCTTTAGCTGAGGAGTATCAAGTGACTGCGATTATAACTAAATGTAAGGCTGTTATGAAGTTGATGTTGTCAAATGCTGAAAAAGCAGCATCAAGTACATATTTTATCAAGGATAAGATCGATTCATACCAACTCGAACCATTGAAGAAATGTTTAACAGTATTGAAATCTGCAACTTTTGTAAATTACACAGACATAATAGATTGAGCTGTCCAATCTATTGCCAGGTTTGGATACTGTCTGTACAACGGAGTGGATCATTCTCAAAAAGTATCCAGTCCTTTTGTTCCAGGGTTAGACAGCAAAATAAGCTATACCAACGAGACGACATTCGTTGATTTATATAGAAATTGTAATGTTCTCTTCAAAAGTTTCTCACTTGAGCTCCGCAACAAAATTCTATCAGAAAGATTAATGAGAGTCAATGACAAAGATTTTAAGTAATTTATAGTGATCAAATTCAAGATGAATGAATGAATGGATCTTAGAGAACTGGTCTACAATGGTCACATTTTCCATTTAGTATTATTGACATATGATAAATTATATTTTGTTCTAGAACACTTTATTCCTGCCATCGGATCATGTATCTAACACTTACCAACAACATCTAGATATGATTATTCTTTCGTATGTGCATGTGGTTTTCAAGTATGATACTAAATATTTTCAAATATCTGTCCATTCAACATAATATTTATGGTATTACAAACATCTGGAAAAACCTGATCCCTCGGAAGCATTAAAACCAGCAAAATTACATGGAAATTGCAGGCTTGATTTGATTGAGTCCGTAAATGTGAAATAATGAAAACGTGCATCATCCCTCACGTCCCTAGCACCGGTTTGAGCCATTCTCAATTTTCAACACAAAACAATTGCTGGAATCAATGATCCCGAAGAACCAGAAAAATATAACAACACTTAAGTGAAGTACGGGGCAGCTTTTAACGGCTGACACACAGCAGTTGTGATGTATAAATTTCTGAAAAAAAACTGATCCCTCGAAAGCATTAAAAGCAGCAAGATTACATGAAAAATGTAGGCTCGGTTTGATTGAGTCTATACATGAAGGATAATCAAAATGCGCAACATCCCTCACGCCCAAGAGCAAGACTTAAATTATAGACCAATTATCTTTAATTAAAAGTTTGATCGAGTTTAAAGCTGCACGCCTCCAGATGAGCCAAACTATTTCAAGAAAATCCATATTGAGAAAAATGTACTTAAATTATGAAAGGTAAAACATTCAAGAAGATCAAACTTTTTTTTCATGTTATGTGCGGTTTTAGACTGACTTTGCAGTATTTTATTACAATATTTCTACTGAGTTACTAACGCAGTAAAGGCTATTTTTGCATATGTTGACGACTTTTTAGTAATTTTCTTGAATTATAAGTGTCGATTGCAATATGTAAATTCCTTAATTTGTTAACCTAACTTTACTTTTAATTACATTTCCAAAATTTCCAGGACAATGAACTTGAATCTGGAGGCGTGCTGCTTTAAAACTTCAGTCCTTTTTTTGTAAATATATTATATCTTTCAATAAATCAACTCTAGAATGTTTGCAAAATAGTCTGTACCCACATCTGAGTATCTGAAGTGTGCTACTCGTATGCATTAATCCAAACGTCTTAATTTCTTTTGATAAATGACAAAAAGTAAAAAATAAATGTATTTGATTCATTAAATATGTCATTGAAAATGATAAACATATTATGACAGTAAGATAATTATAAAAATTGCGGGAATAATGATGCTAGATGGTGGATAACGACTGTTTTACGAACTGGCGATTATAATGATTGTGATGATGATAATGATGATAATAGTGATAAATGATAGATTGATTGATTGAATGATATTGGTGGTTGTTGTAACAATAACTATCGTTAAGATACTGTGTAAAGATGTTCACATACATAATAAAAGATATGAAGTATATCTACAAAAATCTAAAACTATAATAATTGTACTAGTATTTAAAAATGGTGGACCGCTTGGATCATATTGAAAATAGCTATATATCGACGATCGGTACATAATACCTCAAAGTACAAATATTTTCGTATTCTATTTACTACTATATTATCTTAATCTTACATCGCTGCAAGCAGGCATATCTGTTTATGTCATACAAACATATTAAAGACACCTTTGAAAGCTTTTAAAATCTGATATTTATTTTTAACTTACTGGTAACACCCATACTTATATTTTGTACTAAAATCTATGCAAGAGAAGGATCTTAAATTCTTAAGTGAGACCAAAATATTGTGAAGATTTAAGTGTAAATTATTCTGTAAAATGATGAACATATTGGAGGAGAAGTGACTACCCAAGTACAATAGTGTAGGCATTTACTAATTGTAAATTATTCTGTAAAATGATGAACATGTTTTAGGAAAATTGACTGCCCAAGTACAATTTTGTAAAGATTTACTAAGTATATATTATTCTGTAAAATAATGAATACGTCGCACTAGAATTTAAGAGTGTGGAAGGATGCCATTTGTTTTATTTATCATCATGTAAAAGTGTTTTTGCTTTTTTTAAATATTGATATACACATCTTTGTACGTCTCGACATATATTTATATTTCTTAATTAACTTACAAAGCTGATATTATCAGCAACCAAGGCTTCTGTGAAACATAACTTTATTTTTACTAGTTTTGCATTGTAAAAATCGTCTATTTATTGATCATTTGACACGAAGAATAATTGATTGTACATTGTGAAATTTGTTAGAAGGAAACTATATTACGAAAATAGCAGTCAACTGAAATTTTAAAATCATTATTGTATGTTAATTATTTTCAATGAATGGAGATTGCACTTTTGAGTATACATTTCTTTATTGTTGTATATTAATGAAAAATAATGCTCAGAATGTTGACAGCATTAAAATGTAGCCGTTAATTCATGAAATAAAAAGGATAATTGGAATGATTGATACATGCATAATGATAATAATATTACAATCATCATTATAGAAAAAAAGAAACGACAGCAACAAAAGAAAAAAAGCGCGAAAACCTCAAAATAACATTTCATAATGACAGCATCACATTAAATTGTCTACAATAACCGCAACATACTTTAATGATTTTTTAACACCACACGTATTGGTGCTTTAATGATAAGTTTAATAAAATAAAGCCATGCAAGCCAGATTGTTTATACGAAAATGGTTGAAATGGATCCAGAAAAGAAAATATATTTATCAATTTTGACAATTTTGAAACCATGTTGCTCGCTTGAACAAAGTGTGCAACGAAATATGTGCAATAAGATAAATTCGTAAGCGGAGCTGGTTATATTTCAAGGGCCGGGGTTGGACCTCATATGGAAGTCAAAAATAAGCATCGATAACAAGTATATTTTACTTTAAGAATATCGAAATGTGATTCTATATATATTCTTTGTATTTACCCGCTTTTTGATTTGGATTTTTATGCTGTCTTTCCAGCATATATGGAGCTCGTCTGGAATTTTGACCGGCAATTCCTACGTTTGGAGCCAAATCTCATAATATTTTAATATTTATTAAATGCTAATCATCGTTTGGTGGTAAAATTTCGTAAAAACTGTATAATTATGAATCCGTGTATTGACACTTTCTTCATACACATTGCATGGAATGAATATCTCGACGAAGGCCGCATAAAATCTAAAACAAAATTGGAAAATATAGAGAAAAGTCACGAGGGTACATTGTAATTCTTTAATAAAAGATTTGAATTTTACATACATGTTTGAAAAGTTAAAAGCTTACCCTATGACTGACCCATTTTCTCTTGCATGTATGGTGTTATATATTGCCATTTGGATTATATCTTTAACATATGCTCAATTTTTGGATCCATATGGGGTTTACCCCCCCCCCCCCTTCACCCCGTGTTTTTATCTCATTCAGACTTTTGTATATATGACTAATACTCTAAGAGTCACAGGAACGGATTGCTCTCCATTTAAAGGATTATGTCGAAAACGATATTAAGATTCATTGCATATAGCATAGTCTGCAAATAGCCTACACTGTAAGTAGTTTGCATTTTTTTCTTAAACAGTAATCTTATCTAAAGTTATTTACAAATGAAATATGATAACAATTGAGAAGGCTATTGGTATAATTACATGCCTTAATAAAAAATAAAGATAAATAATTTCATTCGATTCTAACAATTATATACAATGTACATTAGATGGTGAGAACTGATTTCTATGGCCATTTCGTATCCGAAATCATCCACCGTAGAAGGAGACGTAAGTGTTGTAGCCAAGAATTTCAATTACAGCTCACCACACTTTCTCATCTGTGACCAGCTTCCCAGGACTGAAACATATTGAACACAGCATATTCAATTTATTCAATACATATATATATATATGCAGATCTGCATATAAATAAATACAATACACAAATACAATGTACATTGTTTAATACCTCAACAAATTATGGAACATAAGAAGATAAGGTCGTTCTTGATGGAAGACATGGATATGTTGGAATAAGTGTGCTAATTAAGCGGTTAACCATTATATTTTTGTGACATCTTTTTCAGGCATAAATAATCCAAATTAACATACAATGGTGTCGATATTCCAAAATAAGTTGTAGCAGACACAACACCTCTGTCGAGTACTTTACTTTGTAAACATAAAATGTCATGATATACGGGGTCTGTCTTATATTGGTGGCCATTAGAACTTTGTACAAATGTAAATGAGAGGAAAAAATAAAGAACATTTTCGCCTCCAATGGGGATAGTAACCATTTTGTGCAAGTAGAGATTGAGTAGGTTTTCAACAAAGTAAATCTTATCTTGCGATCAGCATTTACCCAAATAATACCTTTTCTTTAGATATTTTGATCCTTTTTAGGGAAGAGTAGAGCTTATTGAGAAGGATTTCATTCTTATAGATGACGAAAAGTTATAATCATGAAATCATGTAATCGTAATCATTACAATTTGATTTTATGCTCGGTGATTCCTGATTCAAATGTTATTAGTGTTCAACCACAGCCTTCTTATCGGTCATTAATTTTGTTGTTAGCTCTATCGGAAGATAGATAAAACGTGGGTTGGGGTTTACGTCGCACCAAAATATAAATCATATGGCAACTCTCAAGGTTTAATGGCGGAGGAAGACCCCAGGTGCACCTGTGTACATCATTTCAGGGAAAAACGGCCTGAGTAGAAACGTCGACGTTTGGTTTGAAGTTAAAGACCTAAACAACCAAGCCATGGACGCCCCTATGAAACGTAACTTGATAATATAATAAATCAAACATCTTTGATACCGTTATGAGGGTGTTCTTTTAGTTCACATGCCCTCGTGTAAAGAGCGACTAACATCAGTATAAAACGAGATAAAAACATATGATCACCTCGAATCGCGCCAGAAAATGAACCTTCTCAATACAGACTTCCACCACATTTGCCTGATGTAGCGTGACACCGTTCACGGCGGTTTCTACGTAGGCAAAATAAACAATGCGTGTTTAACCTCTTTTGAATAGTAACATGCCTTTTTATTGTTGTCCCTTTTCCGAAGGAGACGGAGATGAAACTTTAAAAAATACGTTTTCCTGTTGTTGATTTTCTTTCGAATTTAATCTTTAAAAATCGAGGGTCGGCTATTTTGTAAAGCAATATATTAAAATGTGATAACCTTATTTCAAACTGTATGTTTCCAAAATGTAAACATTTGTAATTTAAGTTTTAATACAATTGAAATACTTCATATGTTGTCAGTTCTTTCTGGATAGTGTATTTATAATACATAACAGGTAATAATTCTTTAAAAGAGATTAAGTTAAAAGATCAACCGCCACAAACACTTAATGCAGTATACTTTGTTATTGGGAGACCTTTTAGTAACAGTAAAATGAATATAATTTTAAAAACACTACAAAAAGAAAATATTAAAAAATAAGATCTTAAAGGAAGGGCTGCATTCAACAAACGCATTTAAGGGGAGCGGTGGCCTAGTGATTAAGGTGTCTGCCTCTCAACCTAGAGATCATGGGTTCGAGCCCTACTCGGGTCACGACCATGTTTCTTCATATGACACCAGTACTGGTTGGTTCCAGGAAGCGGATTCGCAAGTGATTAATTTAAGTTGTAAGAAATTGTTTCGCAATCGAGCTTAAATAAATATGTTTTAACCTACATACTCATCCCACAACACAAGACAACGGTCATGGAGCCCAGCAGGCCATCAAGCAGAGCAAACGGGCAAATAAATACAAGTCTTCCACTGACTCAAGCAACATTCAATTTCAAAATTGCAATTTTTTTAGAATCAATGATCCAATAGGATTATAAAATAATAATAACATTGAAAAACACCGTCGAGATAAATCAAATACGGTCGCATAAATATATTATTACTAATTTTTGTGAATGTTGAAATTTGTTTAAATAAAGACCGTCAAAGAAAAATGACAACAAATAAATTGCAAACTCCAGTGACTTATCTACGCTGATAAAAAAGAACACTGGTAGGATGACACGTGAAATTGTCTGTCACTACATTAGAGTCACTGCCACCAAAATCTTATAATCATCCATTAATAGAGCTGATCATAAACTATGCTTTTATATTATCAATTTTCCTTAGGATAAATATATTCTGTAATTGTACAGTGACTTATTTGCCTTTCTGGATAATACTCTGTGTAAAGTATATCATATCAAAATAAGCGTTTCGGGATCTGTACTTCTTTTGTGCATGCACGCACGATCACATACACAGAAGCACAGAAATAAAGATATAAGTATTGAAATAAGCTAAGCTGTAACAGACTAAACCGTTCTAAAGGACAAACAATTATCATTCTATATATACAGATCATGTACCCTGGTTTATGAATAATAAAGTTTTCACCTATTCGAAATGAATACAGATACCGTAAAAAGACATTTGGAGACTGCTCGTATCGTTGAATTGTAACATTCTTAAAAAGAACTGGGCATCATTTCAATCTTATGATGTGGCATATTTATATGAACTTAAATACTAGTATATGAGAAGAAGCGAATGAGATATTTGATATGTGATATTGAATGCTAAAGTAACAAATATTTTATCCGGGTCATATATCAATGTATACATAAAATATAATACCTCGATTTTCAGAATAAAAAAATACATTTAAAACGTTGACGTTCAAACAATCACTATTATCGCCCTACAACGTATTTTAAACACTACAATACACTTATCATTCTGTTAATTGTTTTATATTGACAATCGGTCTTTAAATTAATTCAATATTTTAAAGCGTGAAGTGGATTGATATATTTCGTTAATAAAGGCAGACGGATATATAGATTTGGGTATACATGTAGTTTATAAGTTTGAATGATAGAGAACAAAGTGTTGCTTTAAAAACCATGGAACCTGTGTCAAAGAAATTAAAAGTTGAGGATAACAGTTCAACTTCTTCTCCAGAACCGTTCACACAGAAAGGGTCACATGATGAGGAGGTTACATTAGATTTTGGAGAGGAAAAACTTTACGTCCCGCAATTTTTTTTATGTTTAGCCTCACCAGTATTCGAGTCGATGTTTAGAAATGAGTTTAGAGAGAAGAAAGAGAAACTCGTGGCGATGACTGGGAAATCATATGAAGACTTCCTTGACTTCCTGCTGTGTATTCATCCAAGATACCAAAAAGAAGTAAATAGTAAGTTAAACTTGGACCAATTTCTTTAGAAGCGAGACCTGTCAATATACAGGTTACATGTTAAATGGGGAGATGGCCTAGTGGTTAAGGTGTCTGCCTCTCAACCCAGGGCTTATAGGTTTGAGCCGTGATTGGGTCGCGATTATGTTTCTCCAGGAAACGTACTCGAAAGTTACTAATATAAGTTGCAAGAACTTGTTTCGCAATCGAGCTTAAATAAATATGTCTAAACTAATGAGCACAGAATGTGAGAGTACACAGTCTTATAAGTATAAGCCGGTGTATTGTTTAGTTGTAGAGGTTATAAATGCAAAAGTAAACGTTTTTATTTTTCATATTTTCTAAATGTTTTGACAGTCATATGCAGGTTACAATAAGTTAAGTTTATCTTGCATATGCTAAATATATGCTAAAGCAAATATAATATTAAAACAATTTACATGCTATTTTGTATATTCTGTCAGTCAATCATAAATTCAACATGTATATAGTTTAAGTGATATAAGAGTAAACTGTAAGTACATATATGTACTTAATAAATCAAGTCAATATCAATTGACGGGCAATACTCTTATAAGCAAATGAATATTAACTACGTGTAATTGATTTCTTTGCAGAACTGAATGTGCTTCGTATTGTTCCCTTAGCTGAGGAGTATCAAGTGACTGCGATTGTAACAAAATGTAAGGCTGTTATGAAGTCGATGTTGTCAAAAGCCGAAAACAAAGGGTCAGGCGCACATAAAGACTCACAAATTGAACCATTGAGTGAATGTTTTAATGTATTGAAGTCCGCGGTTTCTTTTAATTTCACAGATATATCGACCCTAGCTGTAAAATCTATTGCAAAATTTGGATATTGTTGGTACAATGACGTTGATTATGATAAGTTTGTTATATTCACTACGTACGGTGGAAACAAGCCGGACAAAGGAGAAGCCCGTAAAGAATGTCAAGCTCTTTTTGAAAGTCTTCCACTTGAAACCCGCTACAACATTCTTTCAGAAAGGTTAAAGCAAGTCAATGACAATGGTTTCAAGTCATAGATAGTAACCAAAAAGATTTCACACAGTCATCGTGACGATACTGTTGAATTGAGTATTTTAAAGAAACAATTCACTGAACTATAATACATTGTTTGTTTGTTTCAATCATTTTACGCCTTTTCGCAACAGTATTTCAGTTATATAGGCGGGTAGTTTCCTAACCATCGTTCCTGGAGAGTCCAGGTACTAGACTACCTTCCTCCGCGCTAAACTACCAAAGCATCTCCCGGGGATCGAACCCATGCCAGAAAGGTAACTGGATTAGAAGTCATCGACTCTAACCCTTCGACCACGGAGGCGGTTTATAATGCATAGAAATGATAGTAACTTTGATCGTCAAAGTAAAAAGAACAACGACATTTACATTGTAATGTGATATAATTACACGTGTGTAGATAATAAAGCGTAAAACGATTATGAGAAAAAAAGCTTCAGAGAAGTAAGAAAATTTTATTTGAACAAAAATGTCTTAACTAATAGTTGATGCTAATTGTAAAAATCAAGAAACAACGAATTTGTATTTTACACATTGTCTTTCATTACATATAATATATATATATCAAAAGTTTCGGCTGAAGATATGCGAAGAAAGCATTGAAAGCGCTAAAGAATTTACATAGAGTTTGTTATTTCTTAAACATTATAATTTTATCTAAATATATATATAACGGGAAAAAAAGAATAATGTGATTTATTTTCCTTTTTACATTGTAAGTATCTATCAGCAAAACTATTATAATAATTAAAGAAACATTATAATAGTTTAAATGTTATAATAGTTGTGTTAATAAATAATAACCATGTATATAGGAAAAGGTATCGCATCATTCTGTGTTAGTATTTTTTATTCGTATTGATTGACAGCTAGCAATACAAAACTGCTATTTCTTCTGTAGCAAAGTGAAAATCAACAAAGAAGGTGGACATTTTGACCATCTCTACAAAGTTTTGTAAATTTCCACCTCTTTTGGGTAGTTATATGAGTAAAATACGACTAAAAGATCTCTTATTGTTCCCCTGTTAGTAAACATAACGTTTACATTATACTTATACTTTTCTGCAAAAAAAAACTACTTTAAATCAATCCTTTTCTGAAGATGCCGGATAATCGCTGGCTTCCTTGTATTTTGTCAAAGTGATTCAATTTTGATAATGACCAGGATTTTAATTTCATCTTCGAGAAAATGTATCAATTAATGATGTGTAATTAATTCTCACATGTGAAATGACGTTTTGTGATCATCCTTTGTCTTTCTGACTGTTTGAACGTGCGTGAGTATGTAAACAGTTTCTTCAAACGTCACCTCATCTATGGACCAATTGTTAAAAAGGCCATTGTTTATCTTGCACCCAGTGAAATGTCAGATTCAAAATGAAAATTGGGAAAAACATCTTCAAACTTAGTTGAATAAACAGATACAATGGTAAAGTAAACGGATGAAATTCGAGAGGAATTCTTGCAATGAACATGCTTGTTTGTTTATTCTGTTTGCATGTCATTCATCAAATATGCAGGTTTTTGTCATGCAGAATTGCAACACTTGGGGTAGTCAATGTAATAAGGGAATATTTTTAAAAATTTTGTTGGTAAACTTAATGTAAGATGTGTTAAAATGTGATGTAATAATTATAAGATAAGGAATCGCCCCAAGTAGTCCTGTAATGTATTGACTACCCTTGATTAAGGCTAGAAGCTCGTTTCCGTACAAAACTGAAATAACTAACGCCATTAAAAGGAGCCCTATTTTTCTGTCTCACAGATAAAATGAAAAATAGAAGAAACAGCTAACAACGTTGTATCATAAAATACACTAGCTGAAACTTTCAAAATCTAGTCTTACAAACACAAGTTTCAATTTCAAGAAATAGCTACTTATATAACGGAAAACGTTTTGCGTTTTAAATATGTTTCTATTCCAATGTTTAGGTTAGTAGGTTAAAAAATCTTCTTATTTATACCGTGTTAAAACACTAAATGAAAATAAGGTTATCATTCTGTTATGAGATTTGAAAATAAGTTTATCATTCTGTTATGAGATTTACATTATCAACAGGTTATATTTGCAGCATTTCAAATACATGTAAATGATTTGAAATAATAAAATACAATCTTTCGATAATTCAGGTGTATATAGGTTTGGGTAAACATGTAGTTTCATGAATTAGAACGGTAGGAAAAAAAACAAAAAGGTTGCTTTAAAGATAATGGAACCTGAGATTCAAAGCTTGGGATTTCAGTAATTTGTCTTCTCAAAAACCGTTCACACAGGAACGGTTTTGTATACGGTGATGAAGTAACGTTAGACTTAATAGTCTCGATGAAGTTTGGTGATGTTTAAAATGAGTTCAGAGAGAAAAATAGAAACGTCTGCAGTTGACTGGGAAATCACAAGAAGACTAGCTGGCTTGATTTCCTGTTGTGTATCCATAAGAATTTTCATTGAAGTAAACGGTATGTTGAACAATGACTATAAATATAGAATTATTTGTAACTAGTTTTTTTATGTAAAACAAGTCAATTGAGGTTATAAGAGTATGAAATCTCATATCTCAATTGTTAGAGTGTAATCATAGGTTATATAGGATATAAGCGTGTAAGTAAGCCTTTAAGACATTCCTATGAATCTTAAGATCATCAGTGACAATGAGTATTAACAATCTATGCTGGTCAAACTCCATAATATCTTGACTTTACTTTTCTAAACGAGTGCCATTTATAATGTAAACAATATAACTAATTGTGAAATAAAAATTAGTCTACTCGTGGCTATCGCAACTCATTTTATTTTTTCTTTCATACCACTCATTGAAAATAAATCCTGTATTTATAGAAAAAAAACATCGTAAATATCCTATATATTTTGAAGGCACAACCATGACTGCGTTTACTGTTTTGTTTGTGAATACATGCATTTCAGACAAGAGGAATATCTTTACAAAGGAAAAATATTGAGTTGTATATTTATGATTATACGTGACATGTTGTTGTAAAGTGTCGGGAACATGATCCGATATTGCATTACTGTATACAGAAGATAAATAATAGTGAAGTGTTCTAGAATAACAATATTGTTTTTCATTATATAAATATGTTCATACTTAATCACTTACAATAGAACCAAAATATTCTTCAAAATATATTTTATAAGAATATCCAAACGATACATTTCCATTGTTTACATTAATATTTAAAGTCCTGAAACTAGTAGACAAATCCAATTTAAAACGAAGCCAGCGTTTGAAAAAATACATTTCTTTTCCGACCTTGCCTTATAAAACAGCTGTTTACCCAGCTTCCTTTATGCAAATTCTTGTATTACAAGCAGCTGTAAAATAGCAATTTCAAGAAAAAGGTTTCCAATGCCAAAAAGCAGTATGTAATTAAGGCTGCTTCTTCTCGGGAAAATTTCTTTAAAATACAATTACTATCAATAATAAAAAATATCAAAAAAGACATTTATTTACTTATCATTTGTTTATTTTAGCACCTATGTTAGACATACTATCAATATATCTTTTATACGCTTATATATTATAGATACGTGCAAACGTGTATAAATTGTGTAAAGTTATATTGAAAGTGTCTAGCGCCTGTGCACCTGTGCTTGATAAATTTAATTAAAATTCTTAGATCAGTATTTTTATGTTGTATGTCGGCCTTTGACCTCCAAGCATGTTTGCCTGCAGTTGGAATAATAGGTATAGGCATTATTAGAATGTCACAATCAGATTACAGTAATATAAATTCCATTGATGCAAAAGTCGGGTAAGTTTTTGCTTATTTTCTTCTTTTTCATTACCTATCAGTAAATATTTAATGACAAGTTTATGCTTTTAATCTTCACATTAATTATGTAGATAAGACAATGACGATGAATGGCAGACACTTTACTTATTGACTTATGATTTTACAAGATGATACTGAATGTGCTACGTATTGACCCTTTAGCTGAGCAGTCTCAAGTGACTGCGTTTATAACTAAATGTTAGGCTGTTATGAAGTCCATGTTGTCAAATGCCGAAGAAACAGCATCAAATACTGCAAATGCGTCCAACCATAAGTTCGATCCAGTCATACTTGAACCATTGAAGAAATGTTTAAATGTATAGCAATCTGCAACTTCTCTAAATTACACAGACATAATAGATTGAGCTGTCAAATCTATTGCTAGGTTTGGATACTGTCTGTACAACGGAGCTGATCCTTCTGAAAATTTATCCTATAATTTTTATTCAAGTTTAGACAGCAAAATAGTCCATTACAAAAAGACGACATACGGTGATTTATATAGAGATTTTTATGCTCTCTTCAGAAGTTTCTCTCTTGAGGTCCGCAACAAAATTCTGTCAGAAAGATTAATGAGAGTCAATGACAAGGATTTTATCTAAAATTCCAAATTACACGGCGTTATTATCTATGATCAAAAATATTATATCAAAATCCTGTTTTCATAAAGTATACGAGTACAATATACTGAGTACATATATGAGTAACATTGACTATCAAAATAAATTACAATGGCCATAATGAATGAAAAGATTGTTAGAGAACTGGTCTACAATGGTCATTATTGACATATGATAAATAATATTTTGTTCAAGAACACTTTATTCCTGCCATCGGATTTTGTATCAACAACATTCTTTCGTAGGTGGTTTTCAGGTATGATATTAAATATTTTCAACTATTTGTCTATTTTACATAATATTTATGGTATTACAAATATCTGGAAAAACTTGATCCGTGAAGCATTAAAACCATCAAAATTACAAGGAAATTGCAGGCTTAGTTGGATTGGATCCGTAATTGAGTAAACGAAAACGTGCAACATCCCTCACGTCCCTAGCACCGGTTTGAGCCGTTCTCAATTTTCAATACAAAACAAAATGCTCATATCAATGATCCCGAAGAGACAGTAAAATACAACAACACTTAAGTGAAGTACAGGGCAACTTTTAATGGCTGACACACATCATTTAAAATTCGTTGTTGTGATGTATAAATATTTCGAAAAAAGTGATCCCTTGAAAGCATTAAAAACAGCAAAATTACATGAAAATTGTAGACTCGGTATGATTGAGTCACTACATGAGGGATATTCAACATGTGCAACATCCCTCACGCCCCAGGGCAAGACTTTCATAATAGACCAATTCTCTTTAATAAAAGTTTGTTCGATTTTAAAACTTTATTTTTTTTTTTTTTTGTGTAAATATATATCTTTTGATTAATCAACTCTAGAATGTTTAAAAAATATTTTGTACCATGTAAACAAAATGGATTTTATTCATTAAAAATGTCATTGAAAATGATAAACATATTATAGCAGTATGATAATCATAAAAATTGCGGGAATGATGATGCTAGATGGTGGATAGCGACTGATATACAAACTGATGATCATGATACTTGTGATTATGATAATGATGCAGTCAATGACCAAGTTACAACATGTTAAAATACAGCAGCTAGAATTGTGACCAAAACACTCAAATATGACCACATAACACCTATCTTACGTGAACTTCACTGGCTTCCGGTACAGTATCGGGTCGAATATAAAATTTTGACTTATACATATAAATCCCTCATCGATCAATCACCAGCCTATA